GGAGGGAAAACCTTTGGAGACTCTGGAATGAAGCATCTGTGTGAGATTCTGGAGAGTTCAATCTGCAAAGTGAAGAAACTGAGGTGAGTTTTCTCTGTTGATTCAAATGTCTTCATTCACTGATACTTTAAATCTGATTTTAAGTCATTTGATTAAAATTTATTTTCTACAATTGCTGTCTGAATGTTAGAATGTAAATTTACCTTGTCAATATTTTATTCTTATATTTTAGATTTTTTAAATATTGAACTTTATTTCCTGTTATTTCAAAATCTAAAGTTTTTGGACTAGGGGAAAAATGAGGAGACATTTGCTCCAGGATAAAATTTTATCATGAATGCTTATTATATATTTAAGCCCATGTAGTGCTTTTTTAATAGTGGGCTAATACACTTAGACCTGTCTTGCCATACAAGGCTGATAGAGGAGTTTACTTTTTTTGTGGCTCCAGACAGATTTTTTTTTTGGTCCAATATTCTTTTGCTATGCTCTTTGAACAGTATGGGTTGCTGACCCCTGCTCTAGGGGAACATACACACAGATCCAGGAGGAGGTCAACAGACGCCCCCACCGCCCAGTGTCCCCACAGCCGACTGCAGACATTAGCTGGGCAAAGGGCCAGTGCAGGCAGGGCCAGTGCGGGCAGGGCCAGGGCAGGCAGGTGCAGGGCCAGGGCAGGCAGGTGCAGGGCAGGCAGGGCCAGGGCAAGCAGGGCCAGGGCAAGCAGGGCCAGGGCAGGCAGGGCCAGGGCAGGCAAGGCCAGGGCAGGCAGGCTCACACCACAGGCCGAGGTGCATCCTGGTACAGTGATTATATCCTACCTGCCGTACAGACATTACTGCTAACCAGCACCCCTCACGCAAGGGCCGAACACCCCAATGTCCCAGACCCCCACCCAGTGTCAGGAACCAGCGGCCATAGGATGGAGCCAAAGGACAGAGAACCAAGGAAGAGCCAGAAACCACAGCCAAGCCATGACCAACCCCAAGGGCCCAGACCCAGGGAGAGCAAAGGGAACAGAGTTATGAAAAGACCCCATGCCCCCTCAGATGTAGTGTTGCTGCCTGTTGAACTACTGTATCACCATAGAAGCATATATGACCCAGTAAAATCATGTTTATTGCCTGTGGTTTTCTAGATGTTGGTTTAAATGCAGAATTATAAGAAGCAGAAATACAGAGAAGCAGAAACGTAAAGAGAGACATTTTAAGTTTTTAGGTGTTACAGTTACCAGCAAACAAAGGTTTATCTCATCATTGAGGGGTTGGTTTTTTGTTAGTATAACTTATTTGTAAATAAAGACATGGAGTCCCTGAATGTTATCTGTTTACATAAAGTTTATCCACAGCCACCATGGCCCAGATACCTTCAGATATTTTTTTCTCATTGAGGACAGAACTCGTCTTTGGTTGAGTATTTAAGCTAAAGTTTGTTCCCCGCATCTCTTTGCCGTCACCTCTAGGGTTTGCATGTAAATCAGAGGCCCAAAAATCTATCGTGTGTATCTACTATAGGGTAGGGTGACCAAACGTCCGTATTTCCCAGGACATATCCGTATTTCACGTCCTGTCCCGGGCGTCCCGGGTTTTTTTTGGAAAGTGAGGAAATGTCCTGATTTCACTGCGCACGACGCTGCGTGTGACGTAATCCCTGAGCCGCGTCAGAGCGAGCAGCCCTGTTCTTAATCAGAGGCTCTGTTCGAAAACCTAGGACGCATCCTCCAAGGACGCGGTCTCACTAGACTGGATCCTTC